TACTGGAAAATAGAGAATTAGAGAGAAGGACTTCGGCAATGAGCGAAGATTTAACCAAATAAATAAATGTAAACAAGTATTATGTAATAATAAATAATTTAAAAAGTCAATAAAATAAACATTAAAAATTGAATATTAATAGATTATAATACGTGTATATAAATATCGTTTATTATTATTAAAATAAATCGAAGATCTCCGGAGTTTAATATAGTAACCTTCGCTCCGGAGTCTTTTAACGACGACGGAGGTCCTCCGGAGGTCTACGCCCGAAGATCTTCGGAGATCTTTGCTAAAAAAATTTCCTGATGAACTATCTGGAGGGGGTAAACTGATTCAGTTTTTTGAAAATTTTAAAATGGTACAATAAATAATGCTATAATAAAATTATATATAAAAGTTGTATTAAAACAAAAAATAGATTCAATAATATTGTTTGAATATGTTTTTTGAAAAGTGTTTGATTTAGCAAGTGTAATAATATTGATGTGGATGGTTTTTGCGATATAATAAAAAGAAGGAGGGGTACAAGAGAACAAAAGAAAAGAGAACTGCCACAAACCTTTCCTTATATAACTGAATGATAAGCAAGACTTCCAAACTTGAGTAAACTTTGACCAGAGATTCCATCCTACTGTACCAGTTGTCTTAAAGATTCTTAAGTTCTTAAGCTGAGGCTCACTTGCAATATAGAGTATAAAATATTTTTTCTTGCTTAAAATTATCATAAAAGGAAAATTTTTAACAAAATGGATATAATCAAAAAAGAGTTTTACTTTTATTAGAACTTTTAATCTTATTTAATAATATTAATATATAACTTAAATTTATTTGAATAATTAAAAAAAATAGTTGTTATTCCAAAACACATCTGTATCTGAACAAGATTATCAAAAAAGAAAACTAAAAAATTTTTCTTTAAAAAAAACCATAAAAGATCCTGAAGGGTCTTCCTTATCTTTCAAGGATCAATTTATCAAACCAACTTACATCCTACTTGATGTTCTTATTACTGATGTTGACAAATACTTGGCTATAATTTTTTATAAAAATAATAACAATAACATTGTCTATACTACCAGCCCTACTGCTTATATCTGTTTTCCAAAATTTGAAAACTCTCCAAAAGCATGACTAATACCAATCTGTCTTCAGAAAAATAGTTATGAAATTCTCAAAGTAATTTCAATATCCTTTCAAATATACAAAAAAAGACTTGGAAACTATTACACTGAAGTAAAAGCCAACATATTAAATCCAATATCCTTGGAAACAATGAACTCTTTTTTCAAGCACCAACATATCTTCTGTTTATTTAACAGTGACAAAGCAGATATCATGAAGAAACTTTTCAAACAAAAACTTAACTATAGCCTCCATATCTTTTGAAACAAAATTGACATCAATACTGATAAAGCAACTAACACTTTCTTCTTGAAGCAAAAAACTGAGACATCTGTATTTCCTTCTAACACTTTTGCCTTAATTGGAAAAAGGATCAATGACAATAATATGCAACTTGATTATAAGGACAATACATCATATACAATTATTCCAGAATACTATGTCAATTAATCCAGTTCTAATACAGCATTTCCTGAATACAGCAATAATCAACCCAGTTTTCATATAATCTCAAATAGTGAACCCATAATACAGTATACTACTCAAGTTTACAACATGCCTATCCATTTTCTTATATATAAATTATCTCAACCAGCCATAGCAAATATGGAAATTGATAGGCATTCCTCTCCAAACCAATCAGTAAAGATCCTTAAATTTCTTTTTATTAACTGGGTGAATGAAACCAACAAATACCTAGATGAAAACCAAACTGAAAAGAATAATAAAATTAACATCTCTGATATAAAAAACACTTTACTTAATAAATAGAAAAAGATTTTGAAATTATGTAAAAAACTTAACAAATGTAAAAGAACAGTCAAATTTGAAAACAATTTTTTTTAAAGATAAAAAATAAACCAGTGAACATCCTAAGAACTTTTCTCAAAGGAATTTTCTCAAAAATTAAATATAAAGACTGTGATTTCTTCAAAACATTTGCAAAGAATGAATTAATTAAAGACTAACATCAAAAAGAGTATGAGAAAACGAGACAATTTCATTCAAACTATTGCCAAGCCAACACCTTGGAATATGTCACCAGAACCATTCAAAATAAAATCAAAAATAAAATCAAAAAAATTCTTTTTATTATCTATTTTTATTAAACAGATCTTACATTACTTAAGTATTGGCAAGTTACTCAACTCCTTAAATACAGATTCAATTTTTTTATTGACTTCATATTATAAAAAATTGATTATCAAAAGTTATATAAAACATGTGAAGAACTTATTCAAAAAAATCTATTTGAACTATTCATCAATCCAAGTGAAATTTCTATTGCAATAAAAATTAGACTTCCTAATATTATTGCAATAAAAATTAGACTTCCTAATATTATTCCAATTACTTTAAGCAAGAACACAAGCAAAGTTATCAGTAGTCTGAGAGCTTTTTATAACTTTGATCTTCTTTCCACCATTTATCTTGTCAAAAAACCTAACCTTCCAAACAAATCAAAAGACCCTAATCTAGAAGTAGCTTATCTTTTCTCACTTATGAAAAGATACAAGCTTGCAGATCTTAAATTTCATATAGACAAACTTATAGAACACTATTATGTTCCAAACAAACTTTCAGAATCCTATTTTGATTTTTTTTCACCAAAAGCATAATTACCATCATCATTCAAGAACTTACCAGCTAATCTTGTTAAACACTTTCCAGTAAACAACACAATAAAAAAATTCAAGAAAGGTATAAAACTGCTAAAAGATAACAACTACATAATTAAATATCTTTTATTTGACTACATTAAAGTCAAACATCTTCTCTTTCCAGCCTATTGATATAGTAAAAACAATTTCATTTTTCTCCTGATTATTATATAAGAAGAGGCAGACGAACTTATTAAAGACTTAAATCACAAATTTTATTTAAAATTTCTCTTAGATCTTAAATAGATCAAGAATAATCTTAATTAATCTAATAAACTGAAACTTTCAAAAGATCTTACTACAGTAGAGGCTGAAATAGATATCTCTAGAGATTAACTTAACAGAGATGCATCTTACTTTAAACAAACTGTTATAAAAATCAAGAACAAATATTTAAACACAATCTCTAGAAAATGGATTATTCCTTTTCTTCCAAACCTTTTAGATTTAGAAAAAGCTAATAAAATTTTATTGAATCTTAAAGTCAGTTTAAACCTTCTACTAGAGAATAACCTTTACCTGAATGATTATATCAAGACATTTAGCAAATACTTTCATTTTAAAAAATTACCAACCGACTTAATAACTGAACCAGAGTTACCTGAACCAGCAATGACTCTTTTTCTCAATTTAATTTAACAATAAATATAATCACAAACCAGTTTAACTCTTAACTCTCCTTTGTCAGTTCTATTATAATAAACATTGTTTTCAACAATTCCTATAACTTATCTCATCAGCCATCATCCTTTCAACCCATTTCCAAAGTCTCATCAAGAAACTTAATCATTATATTTACATTTAATATCTAGGGTTTTCTTAAAGAGGCAAATATAATAAGTTTATTAAAGCAATCATAAATAACAGATGTATAGTATCATTTGCTACTCTGAAACAAAAGTATCTTCAGGAAACTCTTTTCTAAGAAAACTTAACAACTTTACAATTATCTCAAGTGTTTTATTAAACAATACAAGTAATGAGGCCTGCATATGATTCTGAAAATTGAAATTTAACAGAATCACAAAAAATGCAAGAGGTTTGAAACACTATTAAAAATAATAATGAGATATACCTAGGGATGGGCAAAATGCACATTTTTCAAAATTTTCACATGTAATATGCATAATGCATATAATATGTATATACATGATATGTATGATGCACATAATGCATGAAATGTTGTATAGCATTAATGTATTACAATGTGATAATCTTTGTATAACTTGATTGATAAGTTTTTTTGATACAAACATAACGATGGATCTTTCTAGCAAAACTGGAACTATTTTATCAAACTTGGGTGGGTTGATGATTATAAACAAGGACGTGCAAAATGTAACTATTGTGATCATAAGTGCAATGAATCTATTGTTCGATGCGAAGGACATCTTAAAGTATGTAAGGAGATAGATTTTTCCATCAAGCAATAATATTTTAACTCTGTATCTCAACAGTCAGAAAATAGTTTAATAAGTAATTCAAATACTATATCTCAAAAAACAAACATAAAAAGCTATATAGATAGAATTTCCCAATTAAAACAAGATAATATTGAATTATTATTTGCTCAAGCTGTTTTCCAATGTGGATTACCTTTATCTTTACTGGAATTAAAATCCAATTCGTGATCTGTTTAAAAAAATACGACCATCTTTTAAGTTACCAAGTAGAAAGCGACTTTTAACTATTTTATTAAAGCAAATATATGAAGATACTAAAAATAAAATAGATAAAATGATTGATAATACTAAATTTATTAGTATTATTAGTGATAACTAGTAAGTAATGTTTTGTATTAATATAATAAATTATTTTTTTGTTAATTATTTTAAATAATTTAGGTCAGATTTAATATCCAAACATTGGACAAATTATCTTTTAACAATACCCAATCCAATTTTTATATCAGCAAAACCAACTGGTGAAATTCAACAAAATAGTACAAATATTGCAACCGATTTAGATAATGTTATAGCAACATTAGATATTAATAAATTATTAAGTATTATAATAGACAATGCATCGGTTATAAAGAAATCATGACAAATTTAAAAAAAAAATATCTGAAAGTTATTTTTATGGAATGCTTAGCCCATAATTTAAATTTACTTATTAAAGATATTATGAAATTAGAATGGGCATAGGATATTTTAACAAATTCAATGTTGATTATTAAATATTTCAAAAAATATACAATTCCAGCCGCAATTTTACATTGTTATCAAGTGATTAAATATGGATCAAAATTTAAAACTTTGAAATTATCAATCCAAACAAGATAGGATTCTGCAGTAATTTGTTTAGATTCAATTAAATATAATCAATTGGCTATTAGTTTGGCAACTATAGAAATTAATAATGATTTAACAATTACAATAGATCCGGAAATTAAGTCAATAATCAACAATGAAAATTTTTGGAATATGGTTCAAGATTTATTAAATATCTTAAAAATTTTAGCAAATAAAATTATATTATTTGAAAGCAATTCTTTATATTTATCAAAATTTTATGAATGGTATGAGGATTTTGAAAATAATGAATGTAAATAGTAATTATTATAATTTATATATATTTATTCTTAAATTAACTAATAATTTATTTTTTATAGCTATAAAAAAAAGTTTATATTCAGACTAAATTCTTGATTTAATTATAAAAAGATGGAACAAACTATATAATCCTGTAATAAAAGTGGTATATCTTTTAAATCCGAAATCTCAAGGTCAAAAATTAGCCAATAATATAATGACAACAATATCAGATTTTATTGAAAAATATTATCCTGAAACTTGTACAACTATCTATACACAACTTTTACAATATCGGGCTCATTCTGGTCCATTTAATAATTTCTATGGCTTGGAAAACAATTAATAATATTGATCCGATTACTTGATGGATAGGAAATTTTAATTATTCAACTCCAGAACTTATACAATTTGCAAAATGGATTTTATCTATTCCTATATCATCAGTATTATCTGAATGAAATTGGTCAGCATTTGCATATATTCACTCAAAAAATAGAAATAGACTTAAATCTTCACATGTATTAGAATTAGTTTATATCTATAGTAATTACAAATTACAAGAATTGCAATTTATATATAAGCAACAATTAAAAAATACTGAAAATAATAATGATAATGATTTAGAAGAAATTAATAATAATAATAGAAATAATATAGAATATAAGTTTGAAAGTGATTTTTATGAAAGCGAATATGATTCAGAAGAGGGTAGTGATGGTGAAAAACAAGATGTTAATAGTGAAAGTAGCAATGATATTTTTTAATTAGTATATGTATTATAAAAAATATCAGTTATTAATAAAATTTTTGTGCGCAGGATCTAAAATTTTCATGCGCATAATGTGCATAATTCTGCATAAAATTCTGCACATATCCATGCGTTGCCTATCCTTAGGTATACCCCACTTATTAAATTTAATATAAACTTGAGAATCAAATACAGAATTGATGAGAATCATTATAATCTTTAGGCTTGCATTATTATAACAAAATCTATCAGTGATCATATCTTTAATATATTTATTCAAAATAAATATTGATATGCCATCCATCTCAAATTAAAGTCAAAAGTTGCCATTATAATAATTTTCTATTATTTGACATATGAAAGAATAGCAAGAAAGCTTACAATTATCTCTTTAAAAAATTTTCATCAGAGAATATCAAAAAAAACATATCATTTTGACAGAAGATTTTAATATTTACCTACTCAACTCTTCAGTTATTAATACTTTGATTACACCACACAAGTGATTCATCTATAGATATCTGAATAAATTTATAAATATAGCAAAGGCTATGGATAAAGAAAACATATTCACTTACATAACCAATACAAGTATCTCCAGAATTGACCAAATTTGGATCACACACAATCTGGTTAGCAAGAAACTATTTTCACCAATCACATGCAAGTAACCGTCATTTTGGACTGGTTTGAATACAGATCTGACAAATTTTATTTTTCACAAACACATATCAGTTCAATAAAACTTTCAAGAAACAAATACAAGCAATATAGGAGAACATTGAAATTGTTTGCCTTGCTAACTGAAACTATTTATAGGAAAGCCTTAACAATATTATCAAAAAAGTCTTAAATAATAACATTCCTTAGAAAAAACAAACAAACCCTATCACAATAAGGACCTAACGAACTATTATACTATAATTATCAAGTTTGCAAAAAGGATATTAAAAGCTCTAAAAGAACAAAAGTTCTCAATATCAAAACTTCACCACACAGCAATATTGGTATATAACAAGATTTTTAATATAGCTTTTTCCTTAAAATTATTGAGAAAAGTAATAAAACTCTTAATTAATAAAAAGATGATTAAAACAAATAAAACCATTATATTTGAATTACAAAAAGGTATCAAGGAGATTTATATCAAATTCTGAAGCAAACCAAATATGCTTTCAAAAAAGCCCTTGGTAACTTAAAACTATCTCTAGATTACACAAATTTTTTTAAAGAAGACAAGCTGCATAATGATCATAATAAACTAATCAAAATTATTACAAACTATTTCAAAAAATTTTCAAATCAAAACCTTTTAACATTAACCAAATTTGACAAGATCCATACTCCTCCATGAGTTCAATCCCTGACAATATATTTAACACAGTCTGCAATGAAATCCTACTTTCAGAGATCAATATAGTTTTTACTAGCCTATTCAAGAGATGGCACCAGGATTCACTTGTATTTTATATAAAGCTTGAATCAATCTTGACACAACAGTGAGATAACAAATCAAAAAATTATTCAACAAGGTGCTCTTTATATTCCTTTTATTTAAACATTGAAAGCAGTTAGCTATTACATTGTTGCCAAAAAAAATAATCTGGTTACATGACCTAGCAGATACTTATCCTATTTCACTAATCAAGACCAGTCATAAAATCTTTATCAAAATCATTAATAAACTAATATTTGATACTATTAACAAAGAAAAGATTCTTTTAGGATTCAATTTCACTGGTCTCAAAAATCAAAACACTATAAAACTAATTTTAATCATCACCTCTGAATTAGAAATTGCCAATAATTTGGAAAAAGAATTATGGATATTCTTCTTTGATATCTCCAAAGTATTTGACTCAGTTAATCTCAATAGCCTGGATGCAATTATGAAAAAAATAAAGCTGTCTATACAAATTATCTCATTAGTCTTAAACTTGCTTAATAATAAAGAATTTTCAAATAATTTCACATTACAAATTGATTAATTCTTTATATATCAGTAATAGTATTGATCAGGATAAAACATTAGCTTTTTTTTTCTGAACTATTTTTTATGATCCAATGATTATTTAAGTTACCAATGATACATTATCAAAATCAAAAATACTTGCCTATATAGATGATATCGCTATACTTGGTAGCTTTCTCAACTCTCTCCAAAATGTCAAACATTTTTTGCTTTTTTTTTAAAATTAACTTCATAAAATATAACAAGAAAAAAACCGAATTAATTAATAATTTTATTTCAAAAAACCCATATTGAAACTATATATTATATATAGAAAATGAATCTATACAAGTCAAGCTTGCCATGAAGCAATTAGATATTTGGAGATATACATATCTGGCAAATCATCTTTTGTTCTTATCAAAATAAAACTCAAACAACTTTACAAAGGCAATTTCAAATCAAAAGAGTTGGAACAAATCAATTACAAAATAAACATCTTACTAGATAATTTCAATATAATTAGATTACATTGTATAAGCCTTCACCCTAACTGATACAAACCTAAACAAGCTACAATAAAAAATAAACAAAGCAATAAAAAACAAAATATACATAGAACAAACAATCTCAAACAAAATATTCTTTTCATATGCAGATCTTAATATTACCAAGCTTGAAAATAGAAAAGATCTCATGACTATCAAACTATTGATTATCAAGTTTACAAATTTAAAAACCTTTCCTTATACTAGAAAAAAAATAAAGTCTATACAAGCAGCAAGTACAATCTGGTTATATCCTATATGTGATTTATTCCACTTCAAAACAACTTGGTTAACAATAACAGTTCAGTTAGCAAAAAAGTATAATATCAATACCTGTCACTCTTTATACTCTTGAAATCTCAAATCACCAGTAGTCAATTGGCTTTTTCACTAAAGTTAACAAAAAAGTAGTCTTTATACTTTATTATATCAATCTCAAAACAATACAAAATCTATTTGTCTTTGGAATAAATGATAAACTTTTATAGCAGAAACTTCATATATATAAAGGATATATAAACTGACCATGCTCCCTATTTATTATAAATATCTCATGTTCAAGCACTACAATTGTCAAAGATACATTACCAGTATCCAATTACGGACCACAGTTTTAGGCATACTTAGCAAATCCTAATACACTCAATTTCATCAAGATCAAATATAATATTATTATATGTCAATTGATCACAGGCTCTATTATATAGTTAACAATGTTAAATATATAAAAAGTACACTTGTAATATATAACCATGTTCTAAAACTTTCAATATCAATTAGCTTAAATCTATATGATCAATAAAAAGAAATGACATCTATTATATTTTCAACAACTTACAAGAACTTATAAATAACTTCTCTCTCAACTTTCTAATATTTTAATTATCATTATTACTTATTAACTATCACTCTTACCATCAATTTACTATATGATTTACTTTTTAAACAACAATATAATCACTATGTATAACTTTTAAGCATTTTTTACATACAATCTAAATTTTAATTTTCTTTTTCTCTTTTGATCAATTTTTGCTTTACTTTGTTCAGAAGCTCCCTGATTATCCACAATTACCTGTTTTTCTATATACAAACTAAATATCAACCTACCTGAATATATTAATCATCAAGTAAAATATTCATACAATAGTTTTATTTAAAATATCAACATTCAACTTAAAAGTAAACAGATTACTTTAATCTGAATTTTTGACAAAAAACAATTCCTCTAACTATTTCTCAAGACACTTTGTCATCTATCTCTATTTTTTATTTAATTAGTTATAGCACACCTTACTAATTAATCACATTTTGCAATTAATATTATACAATAAATCAAATTCATAAATTACTATACTAATCTTTTCAATATTCTTTTAAGTGAATCTGTTATAAACAAATTTAAAAGCTTCTTTGAATTAGATATTATTATGAAATCTAACAAAAGACTTGAAGAAATTAACAAAATAAATTTCTTGATTACTTGCCATCTTCAAAATTAAGATCTTAGCAAACCAATTTTCTACTTGAGACAAACTTCATAAAAAATATCTTTTACTTTATAAAGATAACCTATGTCTTTATTGTAAAGTCTATTCGAAAACTCTAAATTATATCTTTTTATGCTATTATTGCCTTTTCATATTAAGAAAAAAAAAACAAACTCGAGATTTTTATTGTCTTTAACATTCCTAAAAAGAAACCAAATTCAAGTGAAACTTACTTTCTTCAAACAATCAATCTATTAGGCAAAACATTACTTAATATAGTTTTAGGCAAGTTTAATATTCTTTTTGATATTATTAAAAAAAAAGAAAAATCTCAAATTATTTTCTTAAAATTCAGCACAAAATCTGAAAATAGTATTCAGCAATTATTATTATTTTAACAACTTCAGAAATTATATGGAAAAAAACTATTTTGACAACAAACTCTAATACAAACTACTCAAATACAAGTATTTTTTAGAAAGTTCTTAATACTTTAAAAAATTCAAACAATTTTATTGATAAAAAAATCTTTATACTAGCTATAGTATCATCATTTTAACCTACTTGGTATCAATGTATATCAATTGTAAAGTTGTAATAGGCTACAATTAATTTAATTTTTATATATCTTAAAAATTGTTAATATAATAACAATAAATTATTATTTAATAAATGTTTTGTATTTAATACTTGTTTGCAATTTAAAAAAAAAAATAATAATTGTTATTATATATTAATTAATATTTAAGAATTAACAAATAATTCAATATTTATTCAGATGTTAATTTTATTAGTAATTGGTTTTTATAATATAATTTTATTATATTACTAATTAAATAATCTCAATATTTATTTTATAAATAATAAAATTATACTAAAAAACTTTAATATGATTTTAATTTTTAAACTTGAATTTAATTTAATTTGATTTTTTTGATCTATTTTTAATGATGTTTTAAAATATAATTTATATATATTATTTATAATACAAACTCAAAATTATTTTTTCAAATATATTAATTAACAAATTAAAACATTCTTATAATAATAACATTAGAAGTATAAATCAACAATTAAATTCAAAATAGTTTAACTTAATATGAATTATTAATTTATTCTTTTAATTAATAACAAATATGTTGCAAGTACAATTCAATAAATTAAATTTATTAATCATTATATAAATCTTTTTAATCTTCTTAATCAATTAGTTACTTACAAGTTCACAACTATGACAAAATAATACTTAATATTTTTTTAAAAAAATATAACAATAATCGGATTTAATTAATACAATTATATTTTAGATAACTATTGTTTCATAATTTTATACTTTTTATATTAGTCAAATAAACAATTGTCAAAATTTATTTCAGATTTTCAGCTTATTTTTCTTAAAATATAATTTTATTTCTTCAAATTAATTAATCAATAATTTATTTAATTAAATAGACATTTAATTTCGTAAATTTTGCATAACTTTATGTATAATAAAATATATTGTATTGTTTATTATTATTTATTTTTTTCACTATAGAAAATTAATCGGATTTACTAGAAAGTTAATTGCGTCGGTATAAATAGAAATAAATACTTTGATGAAAATAATGATATTGATAAAAATAAAATATTTTTTAAAGTATCAGTAACGTAAAAACATATATAAAAATATCAAAACACACTGCACACAAATATAAAATCAATATTTAATGATTACTATGTTGAAGTAATGATGTTTATCGTAATAATTTTTTTTTTTTAGATTATTAAAAATAAACGTAAAAAAACTTTGATTAAAAATAAACATAATAAACTTTATTGATGTAAAATTTTAAACTGAAAATACTATATTCTTAAAATTATTTATTATACTGTATGAAAATTATAAAATTTATTTACGTTATAAATAATAAAATAAAATAAGAAAATGACAAAAGTGATGTAAACACTGTATGTTTGTTGTTTATTAATTCGAAGAGCTATTTTAAGATCTTGTTATACTCCGTTTCTGATAACATGAACTCGATATACTGTATATGTAAGTCAAGGAATATTATATTATTTTTTAAAAAAAATAAGATATAATAATTTGATATACAAATTCCAGAACTTTCCAGAATATTTCTGGAATTTTATGATGACGAAATTTGGCATCATCCGTTATACATATAAAATCAAATAAAGCAAAGCGCTATGCAAAGAAGTCTACGAAATTAACTTGTTTGTACTAATTCAATTGAAGATTTGCCTAAAAATCGATCGGGAGCCGATGGAAATGTACCGTAACCGGTATTTTTATCGCCTTAAAAGAAATGATAAATTTTACGTTCCACAATAAAAATTAGTATAAATGAAGTTATTTGATAATGCATGAGATGATCACAACATTTCAATAAAAATTTGGGCCCATAATCTCAGGGCTCTGTCCGCCTGAAAGTGGTAACACATCTGTTGACTGTGCAGTGTGCATTCGTATACCACATCAATATAATCAAATACTTACGCCCAATCTGGATTCGAAATTCTATATAATGGTTTCTTTTCGAATTTTTGGACATGTTCCGAATACCTTGTTCATTAACCCAAGTCCATAATTCATTCATTTGCATCATTGGTCAAATGTTTGCATTAGTTGTGGTACAAAAAATCAAAGTATCTTAATAATTGAATCAGAAAAACCTTCAGAACGAGATAAGAAAATGACAACGCAACAGCAAGAATATTTAACCATTCTTTCACAAGATCTTGCTAAGCTATTAGACATTGATTGCTGCTCGAACAATGACGATGTCTTTAATAGTAATAGTATCACAACTAGCAGCAATAGATCTATGACAAATAAGATCAACAAAAGACAATCTTTCGTTCTTCCTAGAAATAATGATAGTGATTCAAATTTAATTCATCGACATTCCACATCAATCAAACAGTCTCTTAGTAATCCTAATTTCTCGAACAGCAGCGCTTCGTTCAAAACCACCCTGAGAACCTACAGGAGGAGTAAATCGTGTGATGATTACAATGTAATAATTAAAGTTGGTCAAGAAACCGACAATAGAATATTTTACGCTCATTCGCTGATCTTGAAGGTGCGATCCGAATATTTTAATGCAGCATTCGGGAATCGTTGGGTGAAAACGGAGGAAAACGGAATGATGATATTCGAGAAACCCAATATTGAACCCATTATATTTGAGGTGATTTTGAGGTATGTTTGTTTTAAATGGAT